AAAAATTAAACATGCTAGTCTTTCTGTCGTGATGTCGTGAAGCATCGCAGACGCGGAATCGGTTGTCGTCCACTATAACACACTACACAAGCTGAAACGATGGAATCTTGCGTCCCGACGCCCATTGTCGTTTACGAATCCCCACGACACCCTACGTCAAGCAAATTGTGGCAAAATCGGGCTAAAATCGTGTAGTCTGAACCGGGCATTAGTTTGTGCTGTCTGAGACCTCTGAGTCACTCATAGTACGTGCCTATATCGTGCGCTATATCGAAAATTTTTTCTATCTATATCGAAGAAGGTGTACCGTCGATAAATATCGATACCGTTTTATCGCCCAGGCCTACTATATACTGTATGAAATATATATATATATATATATATTACGTGGAGGATGTTTTCTCCATCCACAGGCTCAGGAGGAAATTCAGTCGCGTCCCACTCACGCAATCTCGCTGACCCAAAGCCACGCCCCCATGCAGAATAAACCCGCCCACCAGCCCTCCGGCTCTGCTCCGAACCCAGACGCCATTCAGAGGAAGAGGCTGGTGTCCACCGTCGACGATTTCACAGACTTTGTCTAGCGAGAGACCAGTGACGTGTTTCTGAGACCGAGAGACGCTGCGTTCCCATCAGTCCAGACAAACCAGGCCACTCCTGAAGGCAGAGGGCAGTGAGGTTTGGTGTTAGTAACATTTGATCACTTTTAATACAACCCAGTGTGCCACAGGAAGTAAGAGATCCGCTCAGCCTCACTCAACGCTGCGACTGCATGAATGAATTTCACAAAGCGCTGCTCCGACTGCTGACAGATGGATGTAAACCCATGCACTGGCATTATCAGCAGCCGTTTTTAGCAGTACGACTAAATTGCACATGATTAACACGCTTTCCTGTCTCTGCCCATCTTCATTCATCCACGTTTCTTTCTCTAGAGCAAACTTGTGTTGTTCACACACTCATTTTCTCTTGTTGTTTTTCTCTGAATATATGAAAATGGTCTGTGATATTAACCGTCCTACCGTTTTGCTTGGATCCTGTCGTTTCCTTTGTGTGTGTGATGGTTATTGCTTATCTAATGAGTTTCTAATAGAACAACAGATTCGCAGAACAACAGCTAGTACGGTAAACCGCATCAGAAGTGTGTGCATGTGTGCGCTTCGCTACCAAATAAAACACTGAAATTTGCAAATCCTGCTGTTGTTCAGAGTCTACTTTCACTCTTGAGTAAAACCTCTGTATACTTCTGTCATCATTTACTGTCTAAATCTTGTGTATGCCTGTGTATTGTGTAAATGAACTTTATAAAGGCAATATTGAGGAGTTGATTATTTTTATTTATAGCACCTTTCTAAAACGCAAAACTCAACTCGGATACATCTAGGGCTTTTCACACTTGAAATAGTTATAACCCTGGCTTTTTTTTTCATGTTTAACACTACTCATTACCCCGAGTTAACAACTAAACCTAGGTTTAATTGTTGCTGCTGAGAAACCCAGAAATGTGAAAAAGGTCAGTTGGGTAAATGGGAGACTACATAAGATATATTTTTGAGTTCCCATTTGCTCAAATAGCAACAGAAAAACTCCACATTATTGTTTTCACGACTTCCCAATAAGAGGAAAACAAGAGAGACTAACGGCAGTCAGAAGAAAACACGATGTAAAAATGTACCTTCACTCCTGTATGAGACGCGGTATAATGAAAGCCCGTTAACGCCACTGAATAAAAATAAAAAAGGTAATTGCAACTTTTTGTCTCACAATTCAGATTTTTTTTTCTCAGAATTGCGTCATATAAACTCGCAGTTCTGACTTTTCTTCTTGCAATTGCAAATTTGTATAAATTGCGAGATGTAAACTCGAAATTGTGAGAAAAAAGTCGCAATTACCTTTTTAATTTTGTTTATTCTGTCCAAACGGGCTCCTATACTGCATTATCCTTAAGGTAGTTTTAAATGTTGTTTTTTTGTAGTTTGATGCGAAGTACTATACGAAGTGTTATAAATGTTTTAAAAATTGTGTGTACATTTATAACACCTCGTATTGTACTTCGCGTTAGTGTTATAAATGTACACACAATTTTTGAAACATTTAAGTATAAAAAAAGACTGGGTGGTTTTGGTATGCTGATGACCGTTAAAACGCGTCATCACGGTCTGAAAAAGGTTTGCGTTGCATTGATTGGACGAACGCAGCACGTGATCTTTAACGGCTCTAGCATAGCGCCTCATCATATTATATACTAGCGACTGCATCTAGTTTTTCCTGAGTGGACTTTTCTAACTCATTTTCACTGTCACCATTTGATATTTTCATTTGGTATTGAGTATTTATATAACGCACGTTGTTTCCGTGACTGTCCACGTGAATATGGGTGTCTGTTGCTAAGCATCTAGTCATAAAATCTTTTCAAACTGTACAAGTTTGGCAGAGCAAAAAAATCCCTTATTTTGCTCTTTTAAGGTAAAAGTAAATTACCGTAATTAATTAATCATGCGCTACACTCAACACTGTCTGTTAATTTAAACATTAGAAGGCCTCATTTTATTGTCCTCATTTGTAAGTCGCTTTGGATAAAAGTGTCTGCTAAATGACTAAATGTAAATGTAAGTCAAAAGATAGTGTTAGGTGGAGACGAGTTTTTAGTTGTGTAGAATGGTGAATCAATATCTTGAAACGAAGCCCCACAGGAACCACAGACACTCAGCTGTCAGACTCTTTATTTGACTTTGTCAAGTGCAAAAGCATGTAAAGCGAAGTGCTACAACGTTACAAGTACAACAGCACAATTCAACACGAAATGTCAAACCTGCAATCAACACATTACTGCACCTTCAGCATTTAATACCAAAAAAGACTTTACAATATTGCATGCAAGTATGTTTTGGCACTTGTGACTGGTTTGAAATGGCAGACATTATTTTTTTTTTTCTGACAAAAAGTAAGAAATATTTTAGCGGCAATACTATCCTGCAAAGAACTACTAAAAAGCCATTATATTTTAAAATGACTGCTTGTGCTGTGTGTAGTTCTGTTGGAAATAGCAATGCTTTCATACCTTTTTTGGGTCTTATTTTTTCCTTTGGCCAAAGCATTTGTGTGAAATGATTGTGCATACTGCGATCCATTTTGTGTACTGAAATTTCTACTCAGTGCGGTTAAGGCAAACGAGATTAAAACAATGCAATCAAACTCGAATACAATATTTACATCAGGGCACACCAATATGTACAGATAAACATGACCTTTCTAAACCTCATCTGGAATGGCCTGAATAAGAACGTTACTGTAGTGGAAGTGACCTTTGACAGAATCAAAACTCCCTGTAGTGGATATTTTCGAGTGCTTAAGCTAATCATCAAATCACTCTCAACTACTCTAATTTCAATATATGAGACCTTAATACATGTATTGTTTAAAGCGGAAAACAACAAAAAAACTAAAAATCCTAGTTTGGGTTTTTAAAAAGAGGGTCCCTGAGCATCATCACGGTAAATACCAATGTAGTACTTCACAAGAGACAAAATCAACACATTGTAGAAACAAATACATGAAAATTAATGGTAATTAATATCCTGATGCAGCTTGTGTATAATACTCAAAGAGAATAGTTCTAGAAAGTTGTATGTGAAGAAATAGTACATACTAGTTTAAATATGGCAAAGCACTAAAGCTTGACATTGCAATAAAGTGCTAAGTTCAAAAGAAACAAGTTTATTTCTTACTTGAGTTGCAAGCTTTGGCAAAATTATACGGAGAGTAATGCTGTTGTAACTATCTCTTATGTTCATACCAAGCTTATTTTATTATTTCTGCAAAACATTTTCCATAACACATTCAAATTAAATCACACCGATGCCATCACAATCATTCATATTAAAACATCAATACAAAGTGCTTTTTAAATTAAATTCAAAACATCATAGAAGGCAGCAACAAACACACTTCCATTTATCATAAGCTGGTTTTTCATTCATTAACAAACTACTTAATAACAACTACTTAACAATAATAATGCTTTATGGAACATCGCTTTTACCTGCTGGAATAACAAATCCCCATACAGAGAATTCTGGGAGTTGTGCTTGAATGAGGGACGTACCTTTGTCTTAATTCTGTCTCAACTTTTTCCTTACTTCATCTAACATTTCATGTCCTACTATTACGTTATCCCAAATTTTTGGTCTCCCTTTAAATTCACACTTTCTGACATGCTTTCCCTTCTCTGTTTTCCTTCTAATTTCATCTTCTCTCACTCGCCCTCTGGTCCGTTTCGCTCTGAGAAACCTCTGAATGGAGCTCTGTGGGAGCAATTATGTCAGAGAAATATATTTGAAATCCTGAGGATTACTAGTTGTTTAGCACCCTGATGGCCTCTTCAGAAGTATGTGAGTGTATAAGTGTAAGTGGGTAAATTGTAAAAGTTCATATATTTTCTGATATGTTTTTGTGTCTATTTTTCGCAAAATGCCATTATATTAAGAAGCATGAATTATGCATAAGTACCTCGAAGCATAGCTCTAATATTTATGTAATCGCATCAAATATGTACCTGCAATCTGGGTGTTTGTGTCTGTATGTGTGCGAGTTTATCAGTGTGAGCCCTTTTCGAATAAGCTGTGCCTATTCTGCATCAATGGGCGATACATATACCCATGACCTTAAGATAGCTTCCTTTAACAACACAAAAAAGAACGTTTCATCAAACATTGTACAACAAATACCATCAAGCTTTAGCCATCCTGCATCAACAGGCTTGCTGTTGTAGTCCTTCATTGTCTCTTTCAAGAGTTTGTTTTGTTGTTGCGACAGCACAAGGTGTGCTCTTGTCGGTTTCAACCCAGTTGACCACCAGGGTCAAGAGGTTGGACTTGAGGTCACTGCAAGTGGGGAAGGAAAAGGGCAACTTGCATCAACTGGAACTTCTTGAGGATTGTAGAAACCATGGTGACCTGCACCCAGTTTCCATCTTGAGACTTTTAGTAAGGCATTACAAATCAAAAGACTTGTGGGTTTGAACTTAAGGCTATGGTGTATTATTTGGTTTTAAGCAACTTTTATTGCTTTTGCTCTTCTTGAGGGCCTGGTTACAAAACCTGCTGTCACCAGGTCCTCCTTTCTTCATGAAATGCTGTAACCCTTGAGCTTCAACGTTCCTCGAGTTCCTAAGCCTTACAACTCAATTCCAAATCCTTGCCTGTACTTGTCTACTGACTGGTGGAACCTTGGGGTCTCAAGGTTTGGGGTGTCCTGAGATAGGTCTGTCTGTGTTGGGGTGCACCTTATTTTTAAGTGGGGGAGGTTTGTGCTTGCGTTTGCGGGTGGGATTCGTAGTAGTGTGTGCAGGGTGCCGGAACACGCTGGAGGGAAGGTTCTCGCTGTTGGTGGGAGAAATCCACTCATGGGAGCGAGGGATCGGTACAGGGGTAGTTATGGCAGAAACAGGAGCAGTTGAGGAAGCAGATGCTGGAGTGGGAACAGGGGTAGGGATGGGTTTGTTGGCACAGCCAGCAACCTCAGATTCCCTTTGGAAATTTGGGTCTACCTTGTTGGAGGTTCCTTTTACTTTATGAGAAGCCTTGTCAGCCTTTTGGCCTCTAGGTTGACTACTGTCCCCCTCAGGTGGACTTGCTTTGAGGGGACCCGAGTCCGCCTTGCGAGGGCCTTTCTCAGTCTTGTCAACATCTACCACCTCGGTACTAGGGGTTTCTTGAGTCTTTTGGACACTATTGGTCCTGTGGGGACTCAAGTCCGTCTTATTGAGGCTTGTGGGAAGAGCACTTGTGATTTGTGAGAACTTCTCTGATTTCCTTGACCTTCGATCTCTCTTGTGAGGATTTCTCTCGGATGCAGGTGCACTTATTACAGTTCTCAGGGGAGATTGTGCCACTTGTGTACTCCTGTCTGTCCCCTTGTATCTATGTCTCTTCTGTCCTGCAGACTCCAGACTTCTGTGGCGGTGTACCCCTCTTCCCCGTCCTCTACTCTTCCTCAGCAGTCTCTCTAGGTGGCACTCTGTTCGATACAGTTCCTCTGTGGCGTGGGTTACCCGGTCCAGCTGCAGAAGCAAAGCATCGAATGCTGGGAGGATTCTGCGGAGTGTTGCCTCCATCTCAGCTCTCTCTTTCCAGCCTTGGCCTCCAACTATCACCCCAAGACCTAAAGTGAGGCCAAGTCCTAGACCTGGGGCTTCAGCCAAACTGCAAGGGCTGCTGGATGTGGGACGCCAGGAGGCCTCAGATCCTCCGTCAATGCTGTCGGGAGTTGGGGGAGCCTCAGGAGTGTCCAGAGGAGGAAGACACAAGGACTTGCAGTCACTAGTTGAAGAGGAACGTGAAGGAGGGAGCTCCATACCCTCAAACCGCACCTTGTGCCGGAACTGTTGGGGAAGAAAGGGATAATGGGTCAAGAGAAGGTGGTGGTAATTTAAAGGACAAAGGCATGCGATGAAGGTTTAATCTGGAGGACATGTGACTCAACATACTAGAGAGTAGGTAAGAAGCAAGTACTCATTTATCCAAAGCAACTTACTGAATAATTTTCTAAAGACAATCCCCTGGGAACAACCCAGGGTAAGAACCCAGTGGTAACAGCTCATGGCTCGTTCTTTGGAGTGTTTGACCAGCAACCATTTACTCACCCTGAGCTTTAGCCATACCCAAAGTTACTAAGATTCTGCTTTATCAAGACAATGCAAATTGCTTTGGATTAAAACCCTCTACAAATATACTACCAATATATGGAAGGGAAAATGGGATCAATTGAGCTATTCAATTTTGGTAAAAAAAAAACCAAAAAGATACATGCTAGAAGACCTAATTCTTGACATGCTACATTGGTAACACCTTTCTTTTGACAAAAGGGCAGGGAATCTTGAGTATTATGGAAGAACACAGACCTCTTTAGCACGGCTGAGCCCCATCCACATTTTGAGGCGTCGCAGGAACAACTCCACCATTTCATAGTCCTGCAGGTCAACGGCTGGACGGTACAGTTCCGCCCTTGCCCGACGATAGTTCCTTAGCAATGGCGAGATCAAAAGCCACAGCAAAACTAGTCGGAGGAGAGTGAAGCTAATGTAGAAGATGAAACAGGAAGCAGAACATGGAGAGGAGCCACTGTCCGGTCGCCATGACAACAGTCCACGCCCATTAGAGCCTAGTAACTTCAAGCAAGTAGAGCTAACAGTTCCGTGGCCCTCCATGACAGAGTGGAAAAGCTAGAGGGGAGAAATAAAAGATAGTACTTGTCTTAAGATTTTGCTAAACTTTTTTTTTATTTTTTATACATAGTTCTGGACTAAATCCAGAAAATAAGTATTCAAGTTATTGATCAGAACAGACTGCTTTTAAGAGATATAAAATGTTCACTAATGGCTCATAATTGACCCATTAAATATTCTAGTTGAGTGAGGGAGATAATTTAACAGTCTCTTGTGTCCGCTTCACCATTATGTCAAAGTTTTTTTTGCACTTTCTTTATGTAAACAGCCTAGAATTTCTTGGCATTTTAATTTAATAATTCAGGATTAAGGAAGGGTGGTGTGTTCAGATCCAAACACAAACATGCGTATACAAATGAGTACTTATGTAAACAGCCTAGAATTTCTTGGCATTTTAATTTAATAATTGAGGATTAAGGAAGGGTGGTGTGTTCAGATCCAAACACAAACATGCGTATACAAATGAGTATACAGGCACAGACAACTGAACCCACAATATGGTCATCGGTGAATTGTTAAGAAGTTGCTAGGGCACTGTTATGTGGTTGTTGAAGTGATGGTTGCTTACTGGCCCAAGTTAAAAAACCCCAACCCCAAATCTCTATAATATTCTGGTCTATGGGATTTTGCACCTTCTTTAAAAATTAAAAGCACAACTCTCCTTAGCAAGCCACATGAAGAAGCTATGCCCTGATGTTTAATAGATTCGTTTTGTGTGTTTGCTCAAATCCCTCTGTATGAGTAACAGCAATGGTGACGCTTGGCTTAACAAACAACTAATAACAATACCCAGTTTATACACAAGGTCACTTCAGCATGCCAAGTTTTACAGGAAAATGTAGGAAATTTGTAATTCAGGCAGAGTCAAGGTCCTCGTACACTCAGATATGTACATAGTTAAAAGACACGGACATTCAGTTCAGATAAATAATTGGCTGACGTCAAGGAGATGTGCTGCTTTTATGAACTCACGTCCTTTATGCATCTAATAAATGTCTTTAATTATACTCGTTTCCTCTGCATTAGTAGGAAATTTGTTGATGCGCGTAGGTCACCGGTATAATCATGACGAAATGCATTATTCATTTTCCAGAAAAAACACTTGACAGGTTTGTGTTTACCAAGGAACCATGAGTCCATGTGGTTTAAATCATTTTGCAGATGGTGTGTGTGTGTGTACTAACCAGGTGTCCGGTGTGTGAGTATGCCAACAGGAACACGAGTAGAGTGACTGCAACTGTCAGCAGCTCCCAGAAAGATCTCCTTAGCGTTCTCCCGAAAACCCCCCATTCTCTCATGAAACGCAGCTGGTGTGATGCCTAAAAAGAGATAAATGAAGTGAGTGATAAATAATGCCTCGCCAGTTTGTATTTTCATATCATTAATTATTGCAGAATTATTTAAGATTTTTTGACTGTACTAAAGCATAAAAATACTAGGGCTGAGGAAATAAATCAATGCATCGCGAATCGAGAAATTCTGCATCGATTCTGAGATTTTCCAAATGCATCGCGTTTCTCTCTCGAATTGATTCTGAGCTTAGGTTTTAACAGAAGATGGCACTGCATGCTTTAGAAACAGCCGTACTCTGCAAACTGCTTGCTTCCTGTTCCTTACACACTCTTGAACCTAAAATAATCATTCATAAAGTTTGAAAAGTTTGAAGCTAATCACAAGGGTTTTTACAGTGAGCTGTTTACATTAATCTGGCGTCATAAAAGCATTCTGAGCCCAGGTGTAATTACATGACTCAGCTGAACGCACAAGCGCGCTTCTTCATGAGCATTTCTTCATGAGAGTGCGGTTAAAAACTACAGTAGTCAACATTTGAAGTGGATCAAAAAAGTTCATCAAAGTTGTTCTAAGATAAGAACACATTTTGGTTTTAGGACAACTTTGATGAAAGATTTTGATGCACTTCAAATGTTGACTACTGTAGATCAAAGTCTACTGTTAAAAACTAAGCTCAGAATCAATTCCAGAGAGAATCGCGATGCATTCAGAATCGATCAATGAAGCCCTAAAAAAACACCATAATATGTTTGCAGACATTTAGGAGACCTGCTAAATTCACATACTTGTTTTGCTGAAAAACAACGCAACAGCCAGTTATTCTACTTTGAAATGTACGTTCTGTGTCGGAATGTCTGTTTTTGTTGTGGTCTCTGTGATTTCACCCACTGCCAATTTACCCAGTAGTATTTCGACACACCGGGTTGCCAGTTGGCGGAAAACACTGCGTACTGCAGCCATGGAAGCCAGCAAACGAACTGGGTCAGAAACTGCAGATTCTACCCAACCTAAAAAGCCTCAGCATCCATCTGTTCCATTGTTAATTGCACTCGTTCTTCTTGCGTGCGCTCAATCTGGCAACCCACATGAGCATCGAGCCCGAGTAGGAGGGGCAGGAGAAACAACTCCCTCCAATATTCTGAATTTGGACTGGACTGCTAGCTGTCAATATTATATACAGAACCTTTAAATATTTAGTGATGTCTGGCCTGATGTATACAGGAGAAGAACTTGAGGTGGGAATTTATGACTTTGCAGATGTGTGTTTAGCATTCATTTAGTTGTCCCGAACAAACTAATTAACAGGACAATCCCGCTGGCATAACCTGAGGTTAAGTGCCTTGCTCAAGGGCACAATGGTTAATTCTTTTAGTTATCAGTTCTTAACTTCATCTAGTACACCATCTCACACTATTCCATATTTATAAGCACTTGAAAAAAATTATAGTAGAGACTTCGCTACACCATTTATTAAGGCGTGGCATTCTGCAGCTCCAACTGTAGAGCATGTTTCTAACAATGCCAAAGTTATGGGTTTGATTGCCATTTGCTCACCTTGAGAACCAGTAGGAGGAGCAGAGTCGCGCTGAGTTGGGTCAGAACCTGGTTCTGCTGAGCCAGAGGAAAGAAGTCCGTAAAAGTGTCCCGTTTTTGTAGAAATGACCCCCATTGGTGGGCGGAGAGTACAGAGCGGCTCAGGTGTAGCGAGGCAACACAAATCGCCAACAGCAGACTGCAAACACTTGCTACGTTCCACAAACGCAGGAAATAGCCACGCCCCTGTTTCCAAGCAACCGCGCTCTCACGTACAGAGAAATAGATCACGAAGACCAGCAGGAGGAGCTGTGAGAGAAAGAAAGAACTTAATGAACCTCTGCCTTTGTTCAGACGGCAAAAAAATAACTGAAATAATAGGATCAGCTTTCAAAAGTGTTTTGCGATTGGCTGATGTTACCGTGAGGAACAGCGGCAGGTTCATGCCGTGACTGAGTGTGTGGAGGCTGCAGGTTTTGAGATCCAGACTAAACTGAGCATGCTCAGATACAGGAAACTCCAGCAGGAACGTGAAGACGGCCAACAGATCGGTGTTGATGTTATAGAGGGGAAACTCCACGAATAGAGCCCTGGTCCTGAACACAAAACATCAGAGGACAGTCGTTCTCAGTATCGTTCCCTCCAGTCTATTAGACTACAGGAAAATAAAATACTGTAGTAATTTAATAATTGAGAAAACAATAATAAAAAATCGATTTAATATAATATAATAAAACATGTTTTACAATATCTCCTTAGCCTTAATATATATATATATGCGTGACCCTAGAGCACAAAACCAGTCTTAAGTAGCACGGGCATATTTGTTTAAAAAATCGATTTAATATAATATAATAAAACATGTTTTACAATATCTCCTTAGCCTTAATATATATATATATGCGTGACCCTGGAGCACAAAACCAGTCTTAAGTAGCACGGGCATATTTGTTGCAATAGCCAAAAATACATTGTATGGGTCAAAATTATTGATTTTTCTTTTATGCCAAAAATCATTAGGATATTAAGTAAAGATCATGTTCCATGAAGATATTTTGTACATTTCCTACTGTAAATATATCGAAACTTAATTTTTGATTAGTAATATGCATTGCTAAGAACTTAATTTGGACAACTTTAAAGGCGATTTTCTCAATATTTAGATTTTTTTGCACCCTCAGATTCCAGATTTTCAAATAGTTGTATCTCGGCCAAATATTGTCCTATCCTAACAAACCATACATCAATGGAAAGCTTATGTATTCAGCTTTCAGATGATGTATAAATCTCAATTTAAAAAAATTGACCCTTATGACTGGTTTTGTGGTCCAGGGTCACATATATATATATTAAAAATAATAAAAATTTTTACATTTTTAAATCTTTAAATAAAGCAATGAATTATGACATGCCTAAACAAGAACAAAAAAATCATCTAATCTAATGTAATACAATATAATATAAAAATATACATTTTGCTTATCAATCTGGTAATCAAAAATGTATTTAATTAATAAAAACAAATAATTTATTCGAAAATATTAAATAATATATCTGATAATCTAGCAATTATTAAGTTATTTTCATTAGGTAATAATTTCACGACTGATAAATGGTAATACATTTTGAGCTCAGTTTTGAGAAGCCAACTGTTGTTCTTTTTTTGATTTGATCAATTTCCTAAAAGGCCTATTGTGTGGTGCAAATGAGTGTGCAATAAATAGTCAATATAAAACAAGTTCCCTCCAAAACAACTTCCTCCTTCTACAGTCTTTTGTTGAGCATCTCCTCACTAACTGATTAGTATGCATTGGCTGTATATATCAGTGTCTGTGTGTGAGTTTATACTCACAGTGGGTCGAGCCACTGGTGTGTGTTGAGTTGTTTGATCACAGCTCTGGAGTCCTGCATGGTCCTGCTGAGATCCTGCACAAATCCAGCGCTGCTGTAGACAGACACCTGACCCCAGTGCCACACACTGTACACACATCAAACCTTCATGAGAATCTCACTGACATGCGGACGAGGCTCCAGAGCAGAGGAGAAAACAAAGACAACCTCTGAGCCAGAAGACATGATCCAAGATCAACCTGGGTCATGATTAATTCAGCTAGAGATCTGTACAGACTGAACGCACACTGATCCAGGAGCCTGACGGCCTCCAGTTTAGTTGACCCTTGTATTCCAGAACAAAAAACCAAGAGATCAAAAGCCAAATTTGGATGACAACAGTTATACAAGTGGTGTCATGGAAGAACAAAGCTTCTTTAATCTTGTAGATTAAATTGCCTTGCCAGTTGAAATTCACCCTTTTCCCCAAACCATCCTATGGTTTGCACAGGAGCTTCAACTCACAACTGACATTTCACTCTCCTGTGTAATGAATCCTGGGATTTTCAGTTTGGCTGATAAAAGAAGACAAATGCATCATGTGACTCTCACCCGCTGCTCTGAGCTGTACTGATACTCCAGTTCTGCACCAATTCTGAGGCTGACTCCGCCCATCCGGCCGGGACACACCCAAACCACGAGGCTGCTGGGAAATAGCCAATGACGGGGCATTCTGGAAGACAGCAAGAAAGATGGGGGTCAAAGTTCATGAGTGATTTGCGCTTTTATTATTTGTTTCCTAAGAATGTATCAGTGTTGGGAAGGTTACTTTGGAAATGTAACGAGTTACAGATTACAAATTACCCTATTTAAAATGTAATTATTAGAATAACTATTTCAATTACTTTAACTAACTAATCATGTAACTGATTACATTTGATTACTTTTCTAAATTTAAATTTCATTTTTTTCCCCCCGAAATTTTTCTAAACTTTTAATCATTTTGAAACATTTAAAGCAGGCGGGGTTAACCTTACAGTAGTGCTCAACACTGATGTCAGACTTTCCAAATTCTTCATCACTTGAATTAAGATTATAATAATTCAATTTTAAAGCACCGCCACTACAAAATCAGTCTTTAGCAAATCATAACAAGAAATAGTATTAATAGCTATGATACTGTTTTTGAAATCAAATCTTTGCATAGCTATGACAGGAAACACTGGCATCTAACAATGCCTTTATGAAAAAAAAAAACAGTTCATTTAAAAAATAAAACATATACATAAACCCAAATAGGAAATAAAACCGTTATCGAATGAGCATGTCATATTATGTGCCCGAAACTACTGAAACATTGGTGTCTCATGTTTTAGAGCAATCAATGCAATTTGGCAAAGAAATTAATCAAATCTGTATGTGTGAGAAAATATTCAGATGTAACCCCTTTGTAATCGTTAACATTTGCATAAGTGACAGTAATTTAATTACACATTTTTCTCAGTAACTGTAACCGATTACAGTTACATTTATTTTGTAATTAAATTACGTTGTAACTAGTAACTAGTTACTCCCCAATACTGGTTACTGCACACTTAGACAGCAAGGAGACTGATTGACATGTAAGGTCTTTTATGTTATGCCTCATACATCAACACACACACACACACACACACACACACACACACTTCTGTCAGACTGACTGCATGGAGTCTGACCCGACAGATTGGTGAACAACAGAAAAAAGACAACACGGAAAGACAAAACTCTAGTCTACATGCTCCTGTGTTTGTTGCTGGCTCAGTAACTGTAACCGATTACAGTTACATTTATTTTGTAATTAAATTATGTAATTCAGTTACATGTAACTAGTTACTCCCCAACACTGGAATGTATGTAGTGAAAATTTAAATGAACAAAGTTTGTTGGTCACTGAAGTGTATTCTGAACCTGTTACTCATCCACCTTATATGAATGTGTGTGTCTGTGAGGAAAAATCCATTTCAGTCAGACTGAAATGCTCTGAGTCTCAGTCTGACAGCTCTGCTTGAACACTCTTTGTCGTTCTCATTGTTCTCGGGAAAATGAAAGAACATTTCACCCATCTGCGAGTGCTGACCTCTTTATACCTTTTTTATGATGTTCTTTATACAGTCTTATGCAGATCCAGGAGCACAGGACCATCAAAGGTAATAAAAGCAGAAAATGAGCCGCTTTATGTACGTAATGCTTTCCTGAAACAACAATATTCTGCTTCAAACTCAGCATTTGCTCAGACACTGATGCCTTTGTTATTATTTTTTCCAACAATAATGAAAGTTAAACCCGCTAAATCCAGTGTTTATATTTTGTATAAAAAGCATATATATATATATATATATGTATAGAAAACATACATATGAATTATCCTCTAAAGAATGTGTTTCTCCATAAGTTGCTTTGAATAAATGTAAAAAATAAATAATATTACATTATATTTGTATTATATTTATATTTATTATTTATTATAATATATTATATTTATCTATATTTTTATGAAGTAGCTGTGTTTATGTGGTGGTGGAGCACCTGGCTGAGCTCTCAGCTGTCGGAGGCGGGGTCGACCTATCAGCAGGCTGCCCGTCTTCTCCATTAGGTCAGGTCCATCCAGTAACCGTGGTAACAGGGAGTCTGAGAGCCATGCCCACACATCTTCATGTCTGCAGACAGAGGATCAGACAAGTTAGAGACGCGTGTGAGTGTGTGTGTGTTACAAACGGACTGTGACGCTCAGAGAGGCTCATGGTGTGAAACAGCAGCCACCTGTCGAAAACACTACATCAACATACTGTCAGCTCACCTTCCTCTGTCTGATCTCATACATCAACACACACACACACACACACACACACACACACACTTCTGTCAGACTGACTGCATGGAGTCTGACCCGACAGATTGGTGAACAACAGAAAAAAGACAACACGGAAAGACAAAACTCTAGTCTACATGCTCCTGTGTTTGTTGCTGGACAATAGTTGTGTAATGCTAAAAGAGCTACATCTGTGTGTGTGTGTGTGTGAATGTGAGTGAGTGAGTGAGTGAGTGAGTGAGTGTGTGTGTCTGGTACCTGCTGATGTTGTTGAAGTGTTCTGTGAGGAAGTGCTCCTGCAGTTGAGTGTGAAGTCGTAGGCGATGGGCGTCTCTGGACGAGTCTGAGTAGTTGAGCAGTAAAACCACCAGCAGGAACAGCATGTAGAGCAGGAAACCCTGTCAATCCGACACAAAACATCTATTATTCAGACACCCACTCCTTCACATTCACGAGCGGCTCTGTCACCGCGGAGAGAAACACACGTCAATCACAGCTCAGACAGTCTAATGAGAAGAAGCCCGCTCCGATCCAACAGCCAATCAGAGTTTTCCTTTGTGTCCGAGAGTCAACCTCGCAATCACAGCGATGTTAATGGAGCACAGTGTGTATGGCGGCTGTCAGCCATGACAAAGATGTCCTCAATGGCTTTATAACCGGAGTTAATGCTGGAGTTGAAGCTAACAAAGGACTTCTAGGAAAACTATAGAGTTATGACAACTTTGAAGCCTTAATTCACTGTTCACTGAAATGACTTCCGTACCTTCAGCATGGTGTGCAGCAGGCGGACCTTGCGCGCCTCCTCTCGGGCCTGTGAGAGAGCGAACCCCTGCGGCGGCCTGACTCGCGGGATCCGCTGAACCACTCTCTCCACACGCGGACAGTCCACCAGAACATCCTGCTCCTCAGCTCTCAGACGACCCACGACCAGAGAGAAATACACCCCCTCCAACAACACCTGAACACACACACACACAGCAGAATCAGCCAACACAGCTGCATTTAAAACACCACTTATTTCACAATGTATCATTTGCGTCATCCACGTATGTATATGTATATAATTATACACATTAACAGATATAATTAGCTAAATTAAAATGTTCATATTTATTGATATGCACATTATCAATAATGATATATTATCAATATTCATAATAATTTATATAAATGATGAATTTATCTAATTAATCATTTTCATTTATAGATATATGATTTAAATAATAATAATAATGCATTTTTATGCATCTTTATTTGACCCTCTGACTCCAGCAATCTCTATTCTAATTCTATTCTTTAAAAAAACTTGCCCCTTTTAGACTTGCACTCTATTTATTTACTAACTGCTTGTTTTCTTTAAAAAAACAAAAAAAAACAAACTAACACTAGCTTCTCTGATCTAAGCTTGCTCTATTCTATTTCTATTCTATCTGTTTTCTTTTTTTTCCGTCTGCTGTTGTGCGTGTATGTACCTTCAGAGGTTCGAGAAGGAGGAATGACGACAGGAAACTGGCAATGCAGGAGATGAGCCACATCAGAGCCACGCCCTCGCTGAAGCTCCGCCCCAGCCACATTGATAGGCTGCTGGACAGGACAAGCCCCACCCAGCTGGCCCACAGAGCAGCCAATCCACACAGAGGAGGAAACGGCCTGAGCTTACACACATCCGTCACCACTAAGAGAGAGATACACACACACACATCGCGCAGGAGTTCAGCTGTTTGTGTCTATTTCTGAGGTAAAAGATCAGAAGAAGTGTGTGTGTGTACCTGTGCGTGAAGTAAAGGCAGTTTTGGGAGGGTCTCGTCTAAATGTTCCACACGGAACAGGTTCATTCATCTTTTGCAGTAGAATCACCTCCGTCTTATCACCGAATATACTGGAGCTAAACACAAACCACTTTCATTCAGCATGGACACATTAAACTGATCAAAAGTGAAAGTAAAGACATTCATAATGTTATAAAAGATTTCTATTTCAAATAAATGCTGTTCTTTTGAACTTTCTATTCAAAGTATCACACTTTCCACAAAAAAATGAAGTAGCAAAAACTTTCAACATATAATAATAGTAAGCACCATTATTAATAATTGAGCACAAAATGAATAATTGATCATTTAAATTGTAATAATATATCACAATATTACTGGTTTTACGGTATTTTTGATCAAAAAAAGTCAGCCATAAGACACTTTTCAAAAACATAAAAAAAACCTTTTGAACGATAGTGTATATGCTATAAAACTTGTTTAAACAGACTTTTTAATGAGGTGTTCATGCACTTGAAAGTTGATCAATGCATAATTCATGAAAGACAAAAAAAACAAAAACGTATGAGCACTGAAGAACCACCAAATTTAGGATGAATCTGATGCCATTTCATTCACATATATGCTGCACTAAATATACACAGTATAATACTGTTTTTTTTATATTATTTTATGTCCTTTATATTATTTCTATTTGAAAATTTCATTTTATGGACTCTACTACCTTTGTGTGCATCGGAAATTTCCCAGTCGATGTTAATTAAGTATTTTTTAAAATCTCAAAGCGCGGGGCCCAGTGCGAGCGCACCAGTTGCACCGCCCAAAGGACGGCCCTGTTTACAGACACTCTGAAGTGCAGATGAGAAACTGCGCGTGACTTACAGATCGCCCATGTCACTGTCCGTCTGAGACAGCAGCTGTCCATCGGCCAGAATGCGCTTGATTAGATCCTCATCTGTCAATCAAAACCAGCATCCAATCAACAACCAGCTCTATGCACTAAGTACGTACTTAAGTACTAAGTATGCAAAAATAAACAAGTACAGGAGAGGCCAGAGGCCAGCGTGTCACCTGAGGAGGAGAAGTATTTGTTCCTGTGGCTGTTGTCATAGACAGTGTCCTCCTCATCGGGACTGAAGGGAATGTCCACACCCAGATGTCTGCTGCCCTGACCTCTCTTGAGCCGAGGCGGGAACACCGGCCCCATCTCCACAGACGGGTCGGTTAACACATCCGGCCAATCACAGTCAGGAATGCTCCACCTCTGAAGACTACAGCAGAAGAACAAACTCAGAGATTCAGTCTGATTCGCGCGCTCATTTTCTCTTGTGCTGACTCACATTCAGTTGTTCATTCATTGTTATTCATTCACTCACAAACTCTTGAATCTCTGATTCATTTATACTCACTTTTTGAATCGTTCACTGAGTATTTGATTCACTTATGCTCACTTAAATTCATTCATTCATTCACTCACTCAGTAAATCACTGACTCCGATTCATTCACACTCTCACTTGATTAGTCGATCACTGAGTGTTTGATTCACTTATGCTCTCTTAATGCATCTGTTTTTTTAATCATTCACTTATTATTCAGTGAATTGCTTTTCATTCACTTTCATTTATTCAATATAATTTATGAAATACATTTATTCAACCACACATTCATTTTCACTCAGTTGTTTATATTATCAATTTTTACCCACCACCTCTGGATTATTCAACATTGTTAAAAAACTAAAAATAAATAAACAAACCCAACACATACATTACTCAATACAAGTTTATTCACTCCATTGTTATTTTATTATTTATATAATATTATAGCATGCATTAATATTTTGGAGCAGCTTTTTATTTTTAATTTTTATTCAAGTTTTAGTATTTTTGTTTAGAATTTGTATTAGTTTTTTTTCAATATTTTTATTTCAGTTTTAGTTTCAGTAATTTTAGTAAATCCAAATTTCATTTCAGTTAGATGCAAAGGCAACATTTCTAATTTAGTTTCAGCTCATCAAGTTTTTCATCTAATATTATATTTGATTTGATTTTAGCTGTATTTCAAGTAATGAAAACAAGTTTGAATAGTTTCAGTTAGGAGTAACCACAGATCGACTTTAGTCATTTGTTCATTCTCGCTCAGTTATTCAGTCTTTCATTCAGTGGTGTATTTGTGGTGTGTGCGATGTAAAGGATGTTTTGCATCCTGCAGGTCTGTGTTTAATGAGCTGTGCTTTAGCGCTTCGGTGACCTCATGCTTACCTCTTAGTGGACGGCGTGGGCAGGTCAATGTTGGTCTCCTCTGAGTATGTCTGCAGAGAGAGAGAAACAGCAGTGAGCTCATTCCTCTGCAGGTGCACAATACACTCAGTTCATCTCAGGATACGTGTTTGCTGCCGTATATATATATATATATATATATATTTGCTCCCCTCACAGTTCACGGCTGGAATCTAAATGGAGCTTCTTGTTTCAGTTTTGTACCTCATACTTCTTTAGATTGTCAGTCGGTTCATCATGTTTTGCATTTGAATAAAAAACGGCCTGGAAATGTGACATTCGGTGACGGCTGTGACAGACTCAACTGCAGCACATTCAAATGTTACGAAGACGACAAAAGCACCTTTCATTTTCAAACCATTTCATTTAGCTTGTCCTCCCCCCGCACCGCAGAGAAATGGAAACAAATCAGCTATGACTAACAAACATAATGATAAGAAGGTCTTCGTCAAGGTTTCTCTCGGCCTTTGTGTTTCTGTGCATCAGTTGGAGCATGCAAACAAAGTATTCGGCGAGAGCATTTCAATTTGCACCTCATGAAAGGTACGAGAGAAACACATCTGGGTCTCTGTCGGAATAAATACAAATACATATATTGTGTTCTCCCTTTGAATAACAGATAGACCTGCATCAGAAAATTCAAAAACAGAATAATTTACTACAATGAGAGTCGAATGAAATTCATCAATCAGGCTAATGTACACACAAGCACACACACACTTTAGCAAATACTTTTGTCCAAAGTAACTTATACTAACAATATTCATAGTACACAATGCCAGGGTTTAGTGAAGAACTAGATTATTGAAAAAGAAACTGAAATAAATAAATTATTTTAAATAAATAACTAATAATGAATAATTATAAAAAATACTTTTTATAAAAATATATAAATTAAAAACAAATTAAATAAAAAATATTTCTTAAAAGAAATATGTGAAAAATGTATGAACATATAGAAATATAAATGTAGAATATAACAAAACATAAAAATAAACATTTAAAATAAATAAATACATAAAACTAATTAAAATAAAGAAAAGGTAATTAATTAATTAAGAAATATAAAATACTTTATAATATACACTGAACAAAATTATAAACGCAACACTTTTGTTTTTGCCCCCATTTTTCATGAGCTGAACTCAAAGATCTAAGACTTTTTCTATGTACACAAAAGGCCTATTTCTCTCAAATATTGTTCACAAATCTGTCTAAATCTGTGTTAGTGAGCACTTCTC